TTTGCCAAAGTTGTATAATTTTTTCTTCAATTTTTAATACATTATAAAAAGCCATTTAATTTTTAATAAAGAAATAATATAAAAACCTTCGAAAATCTTCTTAGATCAGTAAAATGTCGAAGACTTTTGGTGAAACGCAAAGACAAATATTAAAAGTACGCAAAGGATTATGGTGCAGAAAGATAGAACGTCCCTAACGAAAAACAACGAGAGAAAAGAAGGGAAGATCTCGAAAGAGAAAGGGAGAGTAAACGATAAACGGAAAAAAATGGCCGATATATATATATATATATATATATGTATATATATCGCACTCACGCAATAATAGCGAGTGGTTGTGCTTCGGTTAGCTTCCGAATTTCGAGCAGAAAAAATGAAAGCACGCCTGCTCATGTCCCCTAAATATGTATGATAAGAAAATGCTGTTTTGTTTGGAACAAAATCGCAATCCCTCCCATCTAAGGAATCGATTTTTCTTAATATGGATTACAGTCACGGCGAACAGTTCAATTTCCTCATTGATAAATAGTCCTCTTACTTTTTCTCGAACACCAATTTATATTAACTGAGAGAGGCATACATGTTATGGCAACATCGTCCCGAAATATATACCGCGATGAGTCGGGGGTGAAATTGCTGTGGTGAGGGTTCATTCAGCAATCGAGAAAAGGTTTCGGAGCTATGTTTAGGAAAGAAGCCGACAAAATTGCCATTCGAATTGCTTTGTAAACACAAAACATGAATTTTTTAAATCTTTCCAAGGACAGCTTATTTTTCTCAAAATACAATCAAAATACGTTTACAAATTTTTTATTCATTTTCAGAATGTTCATTGAAATCTTATAAAAGAAAATTCCTAGATTTTCCATGTATTTCAAGATTCCAGGTAAAAAAATTAGAGAATTTTTTAAATGTAAAAAGTATAAGTTAGAGTGCAAGCAACATAAATAAATTATATATGAAAATTAATGGATGACAGGGATTTTACAAGACTTTCTATTGTTTTCTGCAATTGAAGCAACGAAGCTATAGAATAGTATAATGTTTACTACAATATAGTATCAGCTACTCTATTCTACTAAGTACTGTCTTCTACTGTCTCACCATTTTTTTAAATAAAAACTCGCGATTTGTGCAAGAATGTACATGAATGTAAATGTCATATTTGCTGATTGTTAATATTGTACATTATTAAGAAAAAAGAATTTAATAAGAAATATTTTCGGAGAAAGATAAAATTTAAATTTAAAAGAAAAATTAAGAATTTTCCGAGTCACCAACTAAAATTTTAACTAATTTCCTCAACAAAGATAAAAAAGAAATCTTCTAAAAAATCCAGTTTTTTTTTTCAGATTTTTGCATGTAGTAAATATCCTGATTATTTTGTTATTATGTAAGTCGATAATAATCACATGCACTTCCAATTCTTCAACATTTTCCTTGTAAATTCTCATCACTTGTCTTACACAATCTGGCAAGTTAGCTTTAATGTAACTACTCACATGGTATTTCTCGCGGCATTTTCTCGCGCGCTCCGTAAATGTTGCAATTTTATGTAGCGCGAAGCATACGTATACTCGACGACGACTAATAATTTCCTCGAGTTTTTCTCGTCGTATGAGACTGTCGAAAAGTAGAGAGCGTGTACATTTTCAAAGTAAAAGGCGGGCAACGCGAAGAGCTAAGCTTTGTCACCGAATCTCCACACCGGTCTCTCCGTCCTCGCGCGTCGCGACGCCGTGCGTAAAAAGCACACGTATGTGCGCAAAAAAAGAAAGAAAGAAAGAAAGGGACACGCTAACATTAACGATCATCGATAGACACAACGGTTTTGCGTTACATGTTGTGCTATTGTAATGCGCTCGCATTCTCGTCGAGATATTTGTGCAACTCGTATTGGGAAACATCAGGCATATTTTTATTTCTATAAATGTTCTGTAAAACAGTATCACTTGTTGTTTGTGACAAAAAAAAGAACGCGCTACCAGCAGATATAATTACGGTAAAATTAATTAGCATTTAATTTCTGCAAAAGAAGTGATATCAATGTATCAAAGAACGCTTTGAAAATTATTATTATTCGCAACGGATATTTCGTGATAATTAAAATGCATTTAGTGTGATTAAAACGTGAGCGGTGTAAAATAATATTTTAGACGTGTCTATTCAGCCACTAAAAAGTCAGACTGGCCGGCGGGAACGGCTTCGTTCTGGCAGTTATTTTAACGAGGCTATTAAGATCGTCCTGACATTTTCAAATGGCATTGTTTGTCATGATCAAAAATGACGGTAACGTTGGGAGAAATAACGCACGATACGTATATAAGTTACTGCCCGATACGTCGATTTATGCCACACACTAAATGGCCACACGTCTCTTCGTAATTTATAAAAACATGTGCCAAAAGATAACTCAGGGGCTTTAAAGAGTGCATCGGTCATTACGTTTCCCGATTAAAATACGGACGGGTGAACGGGCGAAAGCACGGGTTACGTTCCGACCAAGCTATTAATCAAACTGTATCGGCATTTTTCGGTGACGCAAACTCGTGGATTCAGTTAAACAGGAATTTCGGTAAATTCCACGGAAAATGAAAGCCCGCGGCCGCGTAACGCTTTACACGTATCGCGCCACGGTTTGCTTCTGTTTACTAGCTATACGGAAAATGATTAACGACGGGAGGAACGAGGTCGAACTTTCGGCACATCCGGCGGTTGCACGTGCAACCGAGTGATCCGAGACACGCCCGGCGTTCCATGCGGTTTTCAGACACGTCGTCGTCGTCGTCGTCATTCGCGTCCCCGGAAATTTCACCATTTTTTCACCGTCCTTCGTTGAAACGACATGTGACGACGTTGAGCATATACGTGACGAGAGCAGGTGCACGAGAAAAGTGCAGTTCGTCCTCCTCACGGTGGCAAAGCTTGAGCCATAAACGGCTGTTGCCTCAGCAGCGCGCGAAATATTAATTAAGGTACATTACCACGCTAAAAAGCCGCGTATCTTATGGCCACATTTATATTCCCTTCTCTTACGAAACGAATGTTGGCCTCTTTACTCTTTCAGTTCTTAAGGCGTGAATTTTTTTAATCTCTTGAAAATTCTAAACGTTCGCAGAAAGTATTCTGCAATAATTACATGAAAAATTGGGCTAAGAAATGAAACAGTTTTTTATACATATGATGTAACTTAGAATGTAGCAAACAAAAGTCAAGTTTTATCTCTTTGATACGCCATATATCTCAAAAGCTATTCAATATTAAGCCTTATATATATATATGATATCTTTTGTTCGTCACTATAAGCTACGTTAAGCGAAATCTACGATAAGATTTTAAAGTGTAAAACTTAAATTTTAAGAAATCGACCAATTACAGTCAAATGTGAGCAGAATAATCAACTATGATCAATTTCTCACGGATTAAAGCTTGAAGTTTAAGTTTTACGTCTTAAAATCTCATTATAAACATTGTTTTATATGTAAAAAGTAACTCATTACATCAGGACTTAATTATTCATTTAATTAGTGCGGAATCCTTTCTTTATCCCTTCTCCACTGCCAACGTCGACTTTTGACGTCCCGTCGAAATATTCCGATAAAATATTTACACTTGACCCGGCTATCAATTTCAGTGAGACATAAATAGACTGCTTAATGGCATTCACAAAATCATCCATTCTTTCACTGATGCTGTAACCTGTAAGTAGATCGATTAATAATCGTCAGATTCTATCTATCAGATGGCCACTTTCTTTCTGCTTCAGTTTTCATCGGCTCGAGGTGACGTGCAAGGGTTGCGCCAGGAATTAATTTTTCCTGTGGAACTACACGTCGATAATTTCTCTTCGTCCGACGGCCGTCGATTATCTCACGACTGTCGACGTTGCACACACGAGGCTAATTAATATTTGTCGTATCTCTCGTTGACATGTGCCGATACGTTAATAGATTGTGTGAAAAATTTTAAGTTTCCTTTCGCGAGTTCATCCGCCAGTATTTTTTTTTCCATCTCGTTTTGTTAAAAATTTCTACGAGCAACGATTCGGCTTTAGTCGACTTGTCCGAAAAAACGATTCCCAATCCCTTTGATGGACAGCCATACGTTCGTCGCAACGGGGAAGGCCGGAAGGAACGCGAGAACTCTTCGGGGACGCGAAAGCGACCGATCAGATTTCAATGGATGCATTTCAATCGAGGTCACTGCATACGAATTTCTCTTTGGTATGCAATGATTTATGGTTCGTTGCGCGTTCTGGTTGCGGTCGGTTCGCCGCCGAGGTAGCTGGAAGGGAGAAAAAAAGCTCTTCCAAAAAGCTCCGCACGACCGCTCCCGCCATCGGCGAAATGGACGGACCGAAAAGGAAGTTATCGGCGTTCCTTGTATTTTATTCGGTCGTGTTGCGTGTATTACTACAGTCGCCGAAATAGAAAAGAGGAATTTTCGAAGAGGAACGAAATATAAAATATCGGCGGATCCATACGCGACCATCCATTTCTTACAGAGTTCTTCAAAATTATTAAATAGTGCAGTATAGAGAGTAGAGCAAACTGATTTATAATTTTACAGTGTTGGTCCGTCCGTTCAATTATTCGTCTGTTCGTAAAAACGGCTTAATTTTTTCAAATTTCTTTTTCAGCAAAAGATATTCAAGGACTTTAGTTCTACCGAAGCAGAATATGAGTCAAATCATTTGACCGTAAAGGAATCAAAAATCAAAGTCAATGAGACTTTTAATAATAGGTATTGGATAAACGGCTTAACTTTTTCAAATTCTGGTTTTTCGCTGTACTATTTCGTTACATGCACTATTCCGTTGCAACGGTTTATTATCGAATAAAACTAAGTGATAAACGATAATTATTCTAATAAGATTGTCAGAAGATTCTTTTCTGCCGTTTAGACAAAAGTCTTAGAGCCTATCTTTGGACTCTGTGAAATCTGACATTGACGATATCGAATTCCGCTCGCAGTATCTTATTTTAATTAAAACCACTCACCTTCTTGGCGTCATTGTTGTTGTCGGCTGCGTGATGAGGTTGCGGACTCATTGAAGCACCATTGCTGACTGCCCCGCTTTGCGATAGAAGCTCGTCACTACCCCTCTGCAACAATAGAGAATACATTTGCGTGATATAAATAACTCTTTTACAAGACGACTCCTCAATATAAATTCCACTTTCCACGACGCATATTTTACGTCAGCGAGCAATAACGTAATTCAGAATTATTGCGAACGTCACGCATTTTTTTTTATAACTCTACGACGACGATCTTCAAATATTATTAATTATATATTTTCAGAGCATCAATAAAAAAAACTATTGCAACATTATGTAAATCGTAAAAGTATTACTGTAATTTTACAGAATAACATTAAGCTGGACGGTACAGTATTCCACGAGTACTAATCGCTCGTCCCGTTTTATCCTCGGAGCTTTGAGAGGAATTGAAATAAATTATCACGTCGAGCATCTTTCGATTACTTAAAAAGTGGAAAGAAGCGGATCTTCAGCAAAATCCTATTCGATGTCTCGTCCTTAGAGCGCTGATAAATCTCGGACTTGGCGTCAAAAGAAACGGGTCAGAAGCGTATAGTAGTAAGACGCTTTTAACATAGGTCTGAATCTAAATACTTAACGGAGACTCTCGGACGCGGAAAAACACTGCGGTCACTCGAGCGAAGAGAGTTCTCTCGCGAGATATTAATAATTAATCCTTATGAATCTTCGTTTCCTTCGCAAATCATCACAAGAACTTCTACCTCCGACTCTTGAGAGATTACATTAATCGACCTACATGCAATTACTGTAAAGAATTTACACTGAGAAAAAACATTGTTATTATAATTATAATTACTGTTATAATATTTAGTAATAAGAACAGTATATAGAATTATAGTTACAAATACCATAAATTTTTCTTTCGGTGAATATATCTATTTTTATGAAAGTTATAGGCTTAAGTTATAATCTTAAATTTGGTTGGGTCACATTTAGTGTTGTTTCCGTAATGTAGCGTTTAAAAGTTTATCAATGCTCAGATTGTGCCTTGATGTGTACGTATGTTTCAGCAAATTTTTTTCTGAAATTAGTTTCATTTAACATCGTCACATTATTCCGCGAATATTTTGTATAGAAAATCTAACAAATATCTAAACAAATAATACGATTTCTTTTTAGGAATGTAACGTGTTTTCCTTATTGATATAGCGAAGACTCGCCTTTTCACGATTACGACTTTTCTCATTCACATGCCATTCATTATAGAATCGCGGTTTCCTCGTCGGCAGCGTTCAACATCAAAGGAGAATCGCATGCATCGTGTATCGTTTAACGAAATATTTATTTTCCGCTGCACCGTTGCTGCATTTATTTACGAAATACAGGGTATATTATGCAATCGTGGTTGGATGTAGTACGTTAAATTTGTAGATGAGCTTTGACAGCGAAAGCCTTCACTGTCTTACACAGGCGAAAATGTATGAAAGATAATTCATAACTCGTAAGGAAAACCACTGAGAACTTCGGCTACGTTGAGACGGAATGCAAAATCAAAGACTGAAAAGACGACTGAACGAAACAGAAGGAAGTGAACTATAGGATATGGCAGGTTCACTCGCGGCTAACCCTCGGGTCATCGAGCAACAAAAGACAAGAGCAACTCTTGACTTCGTTATTCTTTGAATGTTAACTAGAAAAGTTGCTGACCAATTTAAATAACTGCATTTACTCGTTTACAAAACAGCGGATTTTATTATCCACTCCTATTCCTTCCATTTACAAAGATTTCTTTTGATTTCAGAAAACAAGCCAAGAGCAAAATTGCGAAGTCCATGATTTGCGACTTTTTTCGAATAAATTAAACAAAAAAATGGATATCTAATCTCCGCTTTACGCGAGAAGCATTTGCTTTCTGGAAATTTAACGGAAATATTTTTTTTTTCTGCAGCTTAAACCTTTAAGGAAAATTGCATATTTGAAACGTTCACTTTAAAATTAAATTCGGGATCTATGCAGATTAATTACACTTAAGTACTAAAGATGGAAATGTATGTAGCATTAAACACTGGAATCTCGTAATAGCGCGCGGTTCAGAGCTCTGAATGTAATAAACGAAGTTTATTACAGAGTTGTCCCCACTTCACTTCTAAACCATGAAATTCAGGGTCTTATTGGGAGTCACGGTTCTATTATCCCACTCATGCTACTCACATGCTTCTAGCGCGTATGGAAGGAATTTTGTACATTAATTCGAGGTTCGCTATTACGAGATTCCAGTACGGATGAGTGTACTTCTAACTATCAAAAACTATCGGAAAAACTATTGCCAATATATGTACTAATAGAGATAGATTGATATCGATAGAGTACATACATTGATAGATTTTTCAATCACAAGATATTTTTGATTAAAATCTGTAAAAAAATTGTTTTTAAATGATAAAACGATACCTCTAGAAGTTAATTTTTCACTCGAGATAACTACACTGAAAAAAATGATGTTATATCAACAATATTATTTTAAGGACCTATTTGATATACAGTCCCTACCAAAAGTTAGAAATTAAAAATATGTTAATATTTACGCTTTTTATGTAAAAATAAATGTGAAAACTATATACATATATACGAAAATTATGTAAGTATTTAACATCATATTTTTAATCAACAACACCTTTTTATTTATTTACTGTATTCGTTATTATTTTTTATTCTTATAACATTTCAACTTAAAAAATAATAACAAATACAATTAATAAACTATAAAAAGATGTTATTAATTAAAAATATGATGTTAGGTGCTCACACAATTGTTTCGTATCTACGTAATTTTCATATTTATTTTTATATAGAAAGTGTAAATATTAACACATTTTTAACTTCAAACTTTTAGTAGGAACTGTGTATATCAGATACATCCTTAAGTGAAAATAACTTTGTTAGTTCATGTTAATGAAACAAATATTTTATTAAAACAAGAACATGACGTATTTGTTTAATTAATGCGTTATTGAATTAACAAAATTATTTTCAATTAAAAAATAATACTATTGAGACATAATTTTTTTCAATGTAAGTAGCATCGCACGAAATACGCGGAAACTTAAATTAAATGCAATATAAAAAACATATTAGATACATGTCTATACATTTAAATGTACATTATGTACATCTACTCGTCCGAAGTACGAAAAGTCACAAAAGTGTTTATCCCCAACTCAAAAAATAAATACACGTGGAAAGCTTCGCAAGTGCAATTAGGAGAACGCGTTCTCTGCGACGACGTTTCATACACGGTTTATCTTGCGAAAGTACACCGCGAACGTTCTCAGCGCATTGAGTGCGCGCTGTTAGGTGGAATATCGTTCAAAGAGCGGCGAGAAGGAGCTCTTATATGGAACGGGATTCTCGTCTTTCCACGATCATAGAAAAAGAAAGAGGGAGAAGCAGCATGGGTGGAGACAAGCCACGGAAAGGGACTCGGATTCCATATTTTCCTCGGATATGGGGATAGGGGTTCATCCTCTCTGACCAACATCCGGCGGAGCTGTCCGCCCCGGTCCCGGTGCTCGTGTATTATTTATTTCCCGCGGACGTATGGATTATGGACCAGCCAACTCCCCTTTCGCTTCAGAGCCTCGTAACCACCGTCACGAACTCCGTTTTCTCTCTCTCTCTCTCTTTCTTCCCCGCTATATCTACTCTACTTTCATCCCTCAATTCTCCACCCCTGAACAACCACCATCCCGATTCCCGTCCCAGCTTCTTCTTTCAACTTCGCGGATCGCAAGGTTGTTTTCTCTCGATCTTCGCGAACCGTGTTCGAGATCTTAAATCCAAGAAGCAGCCGCTGTCTCACTCTTTCTTTCTTCCTTACCCGCCTTTCGATCGCCGTTTTCTCCATTTCTCTTTCTTTTTTTTTTCCTTCGTGTTTCCGCTGAAAGAAAATCTCCCGTGCGACCCGGTGAAGAGCGCGCGAGCGTTTTACGTGCCCGACGACCCGCACGGAATTGTCTCAAGATCGTCCACACAGAGGGAGCGGAGACGGACGCTGGTACATTGAGCGAGCGAGCGATACCCGGGAACGATGAAGCTTCGCTCGGATGACAAACCAATCTCACGCGCCGGCTGCGGGCCCGATGAGCTCTCTCCGGCCGCGGACGCTATCGAAGAAGAAAACTCGTGACACGCTCCGTTGGGCTCATCTGGATCTGATAACTATCGGACGAATGAATACCGAATGCACGAATGAGTGTATTAAATTCTGTTCGATCACCGTAATTGGAAAAGCGTATATTCAAGAAATAAATAAAAAATAAAACGCAATTTTCGACCGAAGTCTGAATATCAAAATTGTTACCGGAAGTAATCTTAGCTGTGATCCTGTTATCCTTGGGCATGGCTACTCGCTTACG